TCATTGAAGACTTCATACTTCCAAGCTCATTTCTCATATATATTGGTGTTTTGCAAGTTGACTTATTCATGTAAAATCAGCAGTCTTCTTTTTCACTTTTCCTCATGAACTGTTTTTTTTTTTCTACTTTCGGTTTAAAAGAAATGATCCTGATATAAATTATTTAATAGTTTACAAGTTAATCTATCTTACACATTGGGCTAATTCTTGCGTAATCAATGCAATCAAATAAATGTTTTCTCATGTTATCTTCCCCCTAACTCCAAAAAACGTTACCTGGCCAGCTGTCTGTGTGCTTTCAAGCGAGAAGTGATTTCCTATCCTGACTTCACACCTTTGCGTGCATTAAATAATAAAGGGGCTAATCAGCATGCACTTGTTATAAACCAGCTGTAAACAGAGCAACTAACTGAATCTCGCCACTCTTGGGCATATTTATTTAATTTTGGCAACCAAAAAACAAACAAACAAAAAAACATGGCGCTGGAAAAAGGTATACTGCCACGCCATGCTAGCTTGCTTTAGATTTAACACCATCAAACACTTGCACTACGTGTTGAAACGATTTTTGCATGGAGGCCGCCATTGCTGGAACTAAAACTAATACTGAAGTGGATGACGGAAATCGCGGAAAATTCTGGAAAATAAATTTGAATATTGCCGAAAAAAAGTTTAGGGTCGGGGATCTAAAATAGGGACGGTCAGGTAATGGGAACCACACATATTTTTTTATTTGGCCTAATAATATTCCATACATGATTGAGCTGTCACCTGATGAACCTTTAATTCTTTTCTATTTTTATTTTTTATATGCTTTATGTGTATATGAATTATAAGAGTAAATGTAAGTCCAAAAACTTATTTTGTGACATCAATTTCATACCTGTATTTGAGTTGCCTTTTTGAGGATATACCGGGTAGATTATTCAAAGTCGATGTACATGTAGTCTTAGATGCTGCAGTTCTCTTGTACTTTAGCTATAAAATAAATCTTAATGTATACAATTGTGTAAGATGAAAGAATATTTCAAACACTGCATGAAACAGACCAAAACTTTAACCAAAATATCCTCTATAACATGCTCTCTAAACTGAAGAATATGGTCATATAATTGCAGTCATATGAATTTTGTTTAATGATAAATGCAGAGAGAATTTGCAGAATATATAAAGAAAGTTTTATCGTTGGGATTGGGAAATAAGCACGTCTAGTACAATCTCTTAATTTAGCTATATAGCTTGAAATAGCTATTTAGCTTTATTAAGCTATTCAAATATAGCTTGATTTAGCTATTTATATGCAGTTTTGCATGTATTTGACTATTCATATATGTGCTATGGGCTATCGAAACAACAAGCAAAATCAAAGATAGCTCCAACTTTGCAACTTAATTTTGATTACTTTTAAGCAAAAGATAAATTTCTATTATTTGAGTAACTGTCCACTACCTTGTGTGCATTGAGGCATGGATAAGTATGATTGCTTCTCATTGAATGTACAGAATTAATCAATTATCTTGTTGACCATAATTGGCCTCCTTTATAATTTCATTGAAGAAGTAACTGTATCAATTGCATATGTAGCCCAAAAACTTTTAGAATTTGAGTACAAAGTCTCTTTTGTTTCTATTTTCCTAATTATCTCCCCTTGTTTAAGGGTCACAACCCTAGTTTTAGTATAAACGGAAGCCCTTGGCCCAAGGATACCCTGTGACAAATTTGACAATAATTGGCCAAAGGGTTCTTGAGTTATGGCCCATATTCTAAAAAGTTTACGCACACCGCACAAATGGCCATAGCATTAGCTCTTTGGACCTTTGGCTCAGAAGAGCTTAAAAAATGAACCTCTTACATTGACTTTTGGTCAATATTTTTTTTACAGTTTTTTGTTTAGTTTTTTGATGAACAGTGTACAGTATTTTCACCCAAATTCCTGTATTTTGAGGACTGCTGTACAGTATTTGGGCCTAAAAATTATCACATGTATGCAAGGAGATTTTAATGAGTGAGTTTTAAATGCATCAATTTCAGATGAGTTCAAGGTTGAGTATCATCACTGCACCAAGGTGCGACTTTTTGTGCATGCTGAGAAAAGTATACATTTAAGAAAAAGTGTGATAAAATAGCTAAATTAAGCTATTCTGAACAGCTTAATAAAGCTATATATATAGCTAAATCAAAAGATTGTACTGGACCTGATAAGTGCTTTCAAACATTGAATACTTAAAAAACTAGACCTACTGACATGCGACAGCTAAATTTTTGTTGATAAATGAAGCGTATTCTGAACAAATTATTTACCCAAACAAAGGTGATGCTGTCACAAGATGACGTTCGTACCCATCTGACACTTACACTACTCCTCCTTAATCAGCTGGTAATAACATCATTATCCTCGAATTCAAGAAAAATCTGTTAATAAATTAGTTGGAATGATGATAACAAAACTATTCTAATCAGATACAAATGTATAATATAAGACTTCTATTTCACCCAAGAATACCCAAGAAGCAGGTGACATTCTCTAAATGATAACCATCATCCAATGAGTAACTCTTTAATTAACTAAGGATGACTGATACCTGAAACATATAGAAATAATATTACATTACATAAATGATTAGTTATCTCCTCCCCCGGGGACAAGTTTTTTAGGCATTAATAAAACTTAAAAGGTCTGTATAAATCAAATATCAAATTACGGAATGTTTCATATCACAACTGTACTTCAGTCACTAGTAATTAAAGATCAATTGAACTGTCCAATAATCAGTTATTCTCTGCAGAATCCATGGAATCCTGTCTAGTATTGCGGCGTGGTCTTCCAGGCGTCAACAACTCTTTCTTTCCAGGTGCATTGTGCGGCTGAAGACGAGCCAGAGCGCGGGGTAAACGTGTGACCTTCGGTTTGTCTTCATGTTCTGTCGGAGGAGCGACTTCGTCCTTGTCCGTCAATAGTCGTCTTGGCGATAAACGCGACTTAGCGGTTGATTTTGGGGTCACGACTGCAGGTGAGACCTCTCCAGATGTAGCAGGTGAACCATGGTTAACAGGTGGTGGAACAGAAGGGCCATCCACCCTGGGAGTCACATGCGAAGGTTGTGGTGTGCTACATTTCAATGGATTTAGAGTCAATGTTTTCTGAGTCGAGGATGAACCATCTGTAACAGTCTTTTCTGAAGGCTGTGGCATTCTCGGCATCGTTTCAATCGCACTGGGTGAATTGCTATTAAACGGGGTGAATTTCCTCAGATGCTGGCGATTTCTTAGCGTAACCCTTCCTGTGCCATCTACACGTACCACATACTGGTGGTATTGGCGGACCTCAACAACAACTCCAGTGCGTTCCCATCTCCTTGGGTGGTTGCCCATTAAGTTTTGGATATACACATGGTCTCCAACCTGCAGTGGTGGTAGCTGATGGGTATGCTCATTCCATCTTTCATGCTCTCTTGAGTGGCGTTTGGCAAGAGCTAACTCTCTACTCGACATCAGTTCCTTCCATGTATCATGAGGCGAATATCTACCCATTACGATTGGTACGGCATCTCTGATCGGACGACCAAACAGGATCAAGGCTGGGGATGCCTTCGTCTCTGGATCAATGGAGTTCCTGTATATAAGTAAAGCCCTCTGAAACTTATCCACGTCTAAGGAACCATTGGCTGTGATGTTGTCCGCAAGCATACGTTTTACCATCTTTACTGCAACTTCAGCTCTGCAGTTGGCATGTGGATTTGCAACTGATGAGATTCTATGTCTGACTCCCCAGGCTTTCAGGAATTCCTGTGTCTTTCCAGCTGTATACTGAGGACCTCCATCTGATGTTAATTCCTCTGGGATACCAAATGTGACAAACGTCTCACGAAGGCGCTTCACCAGTCCATCCGCTCCAGACTCCGATCTGTATACCATGGGCCAGTTGGAGTACCTGTCCACAACGACAACATAATCCTTACTGTTGTAGGTGAAGTAGTCGCTGCAGATCTTCTGGAAAGGATATTCAGGAGGAACTATATCAGTAGGTGGCTGCATGGGGTTTGACTTAGCCATCTGGTGACAATGTCCACACTGGTCCCTCGTCCTGGCAATATCCACCGTGATATCTGGCCAATACACCGAGTCCATGGCTCTGGCACGCATCGACGAGACTCCTTGGTGTGCTGCATGAAGTGCATTGAGTACTGGTTTACGTAAGGCAGGTGGGATGACTATACGCTGTCCCAAGAGAACCACACCATCAACAGAGCATAGACTGCCAGAAAAACGATGAAATGGGCGCAACTCCAGTGGCAAATCCCTATAATCCTCTGGGAACCCTTCTTCTATCTGCTGAAGCAGGCTAATATACGTAGGATCTGATGCTGTGGCTTCACGTACCATATCCCAAGTTACAACCATGATGTTGGCATTTAATGCAGTTGTAGCGGCAGCAACTGTGGAGGTATCATCAGCTTGATCTCGATCCTCAGTAGATAGGCCGAAACTGGTGGGTGTATCACGACAACTGGCAGAGCAACTGTCAAGGGACTTGTCTACTGTGGCATCACCAGGTAATACCAGTCGATCTGGGGGGCAAGCTGGATGTCTGGAAGCTGCATCCGGACCAAGGTTCTTCTTCCCAGGTACATGAACCACCGTAAACTTGTATCCAAGGGTCTTTTCTTTCAGGTTAAGGAGACGCCTGTTATCTATTTCAGTGAGTGATCGGTCGTTCAATATCTGGAGTAGTGGTTTATGGTCAGTGGCGACAATGAGATCTTCGCATCCGAGCACATAGTATCTTGTCTGGTGGAGTGCGTACACAACAGCCAAGGCTTCGCCTTCGATTGGAGCGTATCTACTTTCTGCTGGGTGGGTGAATCTACTGCCGACCAAACAAAGCTTCCATCCGTCATTACAGCATGCTGGGGTCTTACTGGCACAGCTGCAATACTTCTGCATCATGAAGAAGCCAATACCATCAATGGACCAGTCTGTGGCTAGACAGGTCATGCGTGCTGGGTCAAACAGACGAACACCTTCCTTCATCTCCTGGATAATGACCTCTTTGGACTTTGTAAATAGTTCATCTAGCTCATCCGTCCAATGGAACGGTGTAGATGGTTTCAATAGAGCTCGGAACGGTTTCATCTGTTTAGTCATGGCAAACGCGTAGGCACCTTGGTTGACCAATCCAAACCATGCTCTTGCACCGGTAATGTCGGATGGTGTGGGAAAGTTGCTGATTGCATCTAGGAACTTTGTGCTTGGTCGTATATTTGTAGGAGTAATTGTGAGTCCAGCAAAATCTACAATATCTTGAGCAAACTGGAACTTCTTCGGGTTGAGGGTAATACCATTCCGAGCACAGAGGTCTAACCATTCGCACGTCTGGAAGAATGCTGCTTTAACAGAATCTGCCCACATACAAGTGTCATCCACGCATTTGACCTTGTTCTTGAAGTCCGTAATGACAGCATCAAATCGTTGGTTGTAAGCATCTCCGCTGGCCATAAATCCCTGTGGAGCTACCTTGTATCTGTACCGTCCCCATGGTGTGATAAAAGTGGTAAAGTGACGGTCCTCCTCTCGAATAGGTACAGAGTGGTATCCATTCCAAGCGTCAGTAACGGTCTTCTTCATACCTTGAGGTACCCTGTCTGCTAGATGAAACGGACTCGGTACATGATGGGTCTGGCGTACGGAGTGACGGTTTTGTGGTTGAAGATCTACCGTCCTTCTGGGCGTACCATCAGCTTTACCTGTAACTACCATCCTGGAACACCATGTTGTAGGGGTATTCTGGCTAACTTTCTCCAAGACTCCAATCCTTACGTCTCTCTCCAGGTCAGCATAGACTTTATCCTGCCAATGGATGGGTACCAGTGCTGGCTTGTGAACAGCAACTGGTCTGGCATCAGGATCTATGTGAAGCTTTAGGGGCTCACAGTTCATCAGCGGTAAAGGTTGATGTTCACATACGTTAAAAGTTGTAGCACTGTAGTAATCAAGTAGCCATTCCTTTAATGCATCCACATTTTCTTCAGTAGCGTCCAAGCCTGGTGGTAGTGTTGTTGGTAGTGGAGGTGGATTAGGCTGACGTCTGGGACAGGAGCAGGTAGTCTCATCTTCTACAGAAGCAAAACTCTCTGATGTGTCTACGGGATGGTTTGGGAAGTCTGCATGAATTATTCCAAGAGAAACCAGTGCCTCCCTGCAGATGAAAGCTTTTTCCATGACATCAGATACATAACATAATATGCGTGTAGATTTGGAACCATCTATGACCCTCACATCAACTGCAACCGCTCCAATAACCCCAAGGTTTTCTTTGATGGCACCTCGCATAACGAGCTTAACTGGAATTAGGTCCTTTCTGGTAATTCCCAGGTTGTTGGCTGTCTGCAATGGGATTATCGTACTCTGGCATCCGGTGTCAGCTACCATGGTCAGTTGTATCGTTTTGAGCCTTGTAACATCTTTGATGGGATGTCCAAATGACGCATGGTCCTCGGCCAAAGGTGTCATATTAACCAGTAGCATCGGATGAGGTTTGGACGGCCTAGCTATCCATTTTCCTTCGAAGATGTGATGTTCAAGACGTGCTGTATTCTGATATTGTTCTGATGTGGTACATAGCTGGTCGTAGACATAACCAACCTTGTCGTCAGCATCTTTCGTCGGTTCCTGTGATGGTCCCTGATTGCGGAGTTTCTGTCCTCGTCCCTGTGTACAAGCCCTTGACGATGAATCACGATGTCCCCAGGCACCACACGTTGAACACTTGCTGCATGACTTGGTATAATGACCCTTAACTTTACACTTGGCACATGTAGATGTCCAGGCCTCGCAACTTCTTTGTCTGGCTCGACGATCGTTTCTTTGTCCGTGGGCAGGTCCACCACATGCCCAGCACTTGCCTCCAGGTCCTTGTACTGATTTTTGGCTATGGGTCGTTGTCGACATCGCACCGGCTGAATCTCCAACTGCACTCCGTGTAACTTTGCCTTGTTCCTTCTGTGCTATGAAGGAAACAGTCTCTTCCAAGGTTCTGTCTGTCTTAGGATCACCAAGCAGGTCAGACAAAATTTCAGGGTCTGCAATTCCTCTAACCAGATTGTCCTTTATGATCTCATCACTGTAGTCGTAAATGTGGTTACACCCTTCCTCCTTGCATGTGGCCTTGTACTGACAGAGAGACGCCTGACCTCGGAGACTGGCTAAAAACGTTCTGATGCTGGTACCAGGTGCTTGTGTCATCATACTGAGCTTAATGCGTTGTACCAATGTGCTCTCATCCTTCACAGCAAGCCGTTTAATGACATTCATCAGGTCTGCCTCTGGCATGTCTGTGATGTTACCTCGTTGGTCACGCATGACGTCGGTCCGAAGGTCTGAGTCACAGCAGTAGAACAGAGCAGTGGGTATGACGTTTTGGGCAATGGCCATACCCACCTTGTACATCTCCCATTGTCGAGTGAACGCTGACCACTGGTCTGGGTCACATCCAGCAGCTAT